TAATATAATAGTAAAAATAAATAATATTGAAAATTCTTAGATTTGAACTTTAAAGATTGTAAAATTGTTAAAAGAAATGTAATTTAAGTTTTGATACCATAATATGATTAATAAAAGCTTTTTATTTTTATTTCATTTATTTATTTATTTATTTTTTTGTTAGATATTTTATACTAACAAATCTGAAAAGATTTGACAGTGTTTTATTTATAATTTTTAAATTCATTTCCGCCCTCATATTAAAAAATTTATTAAAATCAAGAAACAAATATCAATATACAATCACAATTTTAAGCTTTCATAGAGCCCAGTTCCAAGGGTACTACCTTCCAAAATTCCAAGTGAAATACCCAAGTAGTAAATTGAAGCAAACCGTTCAGCGCAGGGCAAGCCAGAGCAAACCAGCCTCAGTTACAATCAGCAGGCAGGCGGCCATATTCAGTGCTGTTGCCATTGCCGGTTGCTGTTGGGTTCCCCCTTTGCCGCCCCGCTTAGCTCTACGTACGCCCCTCGCTCTATAAAGTGCTGTGACTGCGGCTGCTGCTGCTGCTGTCTCTGCTGCTGCTGCTGCGGCTGCCGTGTGTTCATATAACGAACGAAATTTTTGTTCAGCAACGCACACATTGAAAGCGGGCCAGATACACACGTACACGTGCATGGGCATCTGTAGTTGTGCGACGTGAGCTGTACTGTGCCTGTGTAGCCGTTGCCTCTGCTTTGCGCACATACTACTAGAGCGAACAAACCAACGAAACGTACCGAGCGAACGAATGAACGAAACACACAGTCACACGCACACAAATAAAACACTGGCACACACACAGAGAGACACGCATACAAAAATATACATATACAGCTACATTTTCACTGCCTGCGTTTGCGTCGTACTTCGTATACTGGTGCTTGGTGCTTGGCCTCTGCTTCTGCTGCCTCTGGCTGGCTGGCTGACTGGCTGCCTGCCTGGCTGCCTGGCATTCATTCTGTGTATTTGATATTCCACTGAAGGCAAAAGCTGTACGTACGTACGGTACTCTACGCTGCTGAACAAACCGAGACCGAGACAGCAACTGAGAGCACAGCACAGCACAGCACCAGCCAGCCATAGGCAACAGCACCGCACAGCACAGCACCAGTACAGCAAAGCAAAGCAAAGCAAAGCAGAGCAGAGTAGAGCCAGAGCAGTGCACACAACTGACTTGAGTTTTTAGTAGAAGAAAATTTATAAAGTGAACAAACAACAGCTAAACGGCAGTGTACAAAATATAACCACGAGTCGATATATCGACGAGGCCCGCAATTAAAAACGCAAATTTGGCGACATTTTCGTACGGGTGAGTGAAAAGTGTCTCACTATGATTGATTTCTCATTGTATTTGCAATACGAATTGACCAAAATGCGTCGCCGATGCGGCCATTTATTATATAAATTTTGCAAAATAAAACTAAACGACCCAAATTTGTTTGGCTGAAAAGCGCAAAAGGTGGCATGGCATGGCAAGGCCTGTACTGGGTTGGCCTGGTCAGGTTGGGTCTGGCCTRCCCTGGCCTGGCCTGGCCTGTTTGTGATCAAAAAGCCAAAGACCCAGAGCTATAATCACTTGAATATCTTGGTCCCAGAATTCTTATGATTCCGTTCCGTTGTCGTTGACGTTGTCATCGTTGTCGCTGTCACTGTCGTCGTCGTCGTCGTCGTCGTCGCCGTTGTCGTCTTCGCCGTCGTCGGCGTCGTAGCTGTTCTTCTCTGCCCGGTATTGTTGTTGGTATTGAATTTAAATTTTGAATGCGCGCGCTCATAATATTGACGGTTATTTTTTGAAAAATGCTCGGCTCCTGCAGCAACACCTGCTCAATTATTCAATGGCCAAATAGGTGTGAATAACAAATGCAAATTACAATTTATGCAAATGCCACGATCTTGATTCACAAATTTGCGATTAATTTGCTTGCATTAAATTAACGAAAATTAGTCCAGTGCTGTAAAATGTTGTAAATACTTATTTGTTATTGTCTTTTGAGGTTGAATATACATTCGAGTGTGGGTGCTGACGAGGTGGGCAGGGGGGTATCTGATGGCAGGCATTTGTTGTAGATTTGAGCGCGTGAGCGACGGCGGTGGGGGTTAGTCAGGGGGTGGGGCAGGTGGGCGGCATATTTGGTTATATGTGACGACGGCGACGGCGACGGCGACGGCAACGACGACTACGTTCATGGCATGACGGCGGATAGCATGGAAAGCCGAGGGGTAATGAAGGCAGGGTCCGTTGGGGCGGAGGGCGGTGGTGGTGAAGAGGTAGGCGAGTGGCAGCGGCGCCGCTGCTGCCGCGGCAAAATGCTACTGGCATTTCGTTCGCACAAAGCTTGTTCGCTCCACGCTTTTTATATGGCTGAAGCAATAAGCAGCCACAGCGTACAGTCACATCAAAAATAGTCGAACATGCGCGTGCCTACGAGAAAATCAAGAGCTCACTGGTGTGGGGTGTTACAGTGTCGTAGAGTATGATAATATCTATCTATATATCTATAAACTAAATTAAAAAAAAAAAATTATATACATTTTATAATGTACAAATAATTAAACAAAAGGCTCTGCAGTAAATAAATAATAAATAATTGAAGAGTAAAACATTATAATATTTGATCATTTTTCAAATAATAAAGTCCGTGCATTATTAAAGAAATATTATTATAAATATAAAATT